CTCAGCCTCTCATGTAGCAGGGACTGTAGGCATATGTCACCATGCCTGGCTTATTTTTTAAAATGGTTTTATAGAGACAAGGTCTCACTATGTTGCTCAAGCTGGTTTTGAACTCCTGGGCTCAAGCAATCTCCTGCCTTGACATTCTAAATTGCTGGGATTATAGGCATGAGCCTCCATGCCCAGCCTTGTTGATTTAATTTCTTTAATAGAAACAGGCTTTAGCCGGGCTCGGTGGCTCAGCCTGTAATCCCGCGCCTTTGGGAGGCTGAGGTGAGTGGATTGCCTGAGCCCGCGGGTTCGAGACCTGCCTGGGCAGCAAGACCTCATCTCTACAATAAATAAAAAAAAAAAATCAGCCAGGCATGGTAGCGCATGCCTGTAATTTCGGCTACTGGGAAGGCTGAGGTGGAAGGATCGTCGGAGCCCAGCAGTTCGAGGCCACCGCACTCCAGTCTGGGTGACAGAGTGAGACTCCAACTCAAAAAAAAACCCAACAACAACAAAAACAGAAACAGGCTTTTTCAGATAATCTATTTTTCCTTATGTGAGTTTTGTTTTGTTTTGTTTTGTTTTTGAGTTGGAGTCTCACTCTGTTGCCCAGGCTGGAGTACAGTGGCACACTCACAGCCATCCCAGTGTCAACCCGCTGGACTCCGGCAATCCTTCCACCTCAGCTTTCCAAGTAGCGGGAACTACAGGCATGCACTACCACGCCCAGCTAATTTTTGATTTATTGTAGAGATGAGGTCTCGCCAAGTTGCCTGGGCTGGTCTCGAACCCGTGGGATCAAGCAATCCACTCATTTTGGTCTTCCAAAGTGCTGAGATTACAGGCTGAGCCACTGAGCCCTGTCCTTATATGAGTTTTTATACATTGTGTCTTTTAAAGAATTTGTTCATTTTACCTAAGTTATCAAATTTGTGGGCATAGAGTTATTTATATAATATTCCTTTTTTCCCTTTAATGTTCATGAGATTGATGATTATAGACCTTCTTTCACTTTCAGAATTAGTAATTTAGTAATTAGTAGTTTCCATCTTGATTAGCCTGGCTAGAGATTTGTCAGTTTTATTGATCTTTTCTTAGAACTGGCTTTTGGTTTAATTGGTTTTCTCTATTGCTTTCATTTCATTTATTTCTGCTCTAATTTTTATTATTTCTTTTATTCTGCTTACTTAATATTTAATTTGCTCTCTTTCTCTAGTTTCCTAGGGTGGAAAGTCAGAGTATTGATTTTAGGTCTTTTTTCTTTCATATATATGTATTCAATGCTATAAATTTTCTTTTAAGCACTGCTTTCACAACATTCCACAAATTTTGAAAAATATTTTCATTTAGTTCAAAATATTTTTCATTTTCTTTAAGGCTTATTTTCTGACCCATGTGTTTTTTAAAGGTATGTTGTTTAATCTGTAAATATTTTGGCACTTTTCAGCTGCCTTTCTGTTATTAACATTTAGTTTAATTCCATTTTGGTCTAAGAACATACTTTGTACATATTTAAAAATTTTAAATATGCATATTTTTTTGCCCAGAATATGGTTTGTCTTGGTGAATGTTCCACATGTGCTTGAAAAGAATGTGTATTTGCTGTTGTTGGAGAAAGTGTTCTATAAATGTCTATTAGATGCAGTTGATTGATAGTGCTGTTCAGTTCATCTGTATCCTTAATATTTTGCCTGCTGAATATATTCATTACTGATAGAGGGATGTAGAAATCTAGATTTATTTCTCCTTGTAGTTCTATCAGTTTTTGCCTCAAGTATTTTGATTCTTTCTTGCTAGGCTCATACACTTTTAGGATTATGTCTTCCTGGAGATTGACATTTTTATCATTATCCATCTTAATCCCTAATATTCCTTGCTCTAAAATATGCTCTGTCTAAAATTAATGTAGCTACTCAAGCTTTCTGTAGATATCTTTCTCCATTCATTTCCTTTTTTTCTGTTCCGCTTTATTGTGACATGATTGACAAAAATTGTATATATTTAAGTTGTACAATGTGATGTTTTGATATATGTATCTATTGTGAAATAATTACATGCTATATTAATCAACTAATTAGCATCCCAATCACCCCACATAGTTACCTAAATCCATTTACTTTTTATCTACCTCTGCCTTTATATTTAATGTGGTTTTTTTGTAAACAATATTTATTTGAGTTTTATTATATTATCCACTTTAATAGTCTCTGCTGACCCAGGAGTGGGTGATCAAATGCAAGTAAAAAATACCTCAAAGCTTTTCTACCTTTTTTAATTTGGCTTTTTCTTGCTTCAGCTTTTGCTTGGTTACTGTAATCCTTTAACTACTTTCCAGTTCTGACAAAGTTAGACAGTTTTTGCTTGCTTTTTTAATGTTTCTGTAGACGGATGGACTCCTGGAGCTATCAACTCTGACTTTTTATTGACATCTGTCAGAATTTTTTTTTTTTTTGAGTTGGAGTCTCACTCCGTTGCCCAGGTTGGAGTGCAGTGGCACGCTCACCGCCACCCCAGCATGGCTCCAGTGATCCTTCCAACTCAGTCTTCCAAGTAGCCAGAACTACAGGCACACGCTATGATGCCCTGCTAATTTTTTTGATTTTTATTGTAGAGTCGAGGTCTCGCCAAATTGTCTGGGCTGGTCTTGAACCCGTGGGCTCAGGTAATCCACTCGCCTCGGCCTCCCAAAGTGCTGGGATTACAGGCTGAGCCACCAAGCCCAGTCCTGTTTTTTACATTTCGTTGGCTTTTCAATGAGCCAAATTTTTAAAAAGTCAATTCTGATATGTGTTTCTAATTTACTAATTTCTGATTTTGTATTTAATGAATTTATTCCCTGTAATTAAAAAAATAGTTTAGACTTAAATGTTTAAATAGTTTATTTTTTCTTTCTTTAAAAAGAAAGTTGGCTGGGACTGGTGGCTCACATTTTTAATCCTAGTACTTTGGGAGGCCAAGGTGGAAAGAGTGTGCTGGAGACCAGCAGTTCAAGACCATCCTGGGCAACATAGCAAGATCCTGTCTCAACTGCACTAAAAAAAAAAAGGAAAAAGATGTCTATGCTTTGCATTTTATCTGGACATAAAGTTAGATGTATTTTTTAGTTTTTTAAGTGTAGTAGCTTCATTATTTTTTTAAACAGTCAATAATTATAGTTTTATTTTCTATTTGATCTAAGAATAATAATTTTTTTTTTGAGTTGGGATCTCAGTCTGTGTCCAGAATGAAGTGCAGTGGCATGATCACAGCTCACTGCAGCCTCATCTTCCTGGGCTCAAGTGATCCTTCTGTCTCAGCCTCCGGTAGCTGGGACAAATGAATGCATTATACTCAGCTTTTTTTGTAGAGATGAGGTCTCACTATGTTGCCCTAAGTTGGTCTTATACTCCTGGACTCAAGCAGTCCTCCCACCTTGGCCTCCCAAAATGTTGGCATTACAGGTGTAATGCCCAGCCAAGGATTATTCTTTAAAGTGTTTTTTTTTTAAAACTTCCTAAGTGATTTATCTGGTATTTTTGTAATTTATTTTTACTTTTATTGTATTGTGGTCTGACTGATCATATCTACTTTAAATATTTCAATGGCACAGATATGAAGGTTGATGCGTGTCTTATCTTTATTGTGGATTGCACTATATATCAATATAAAATGCCACTTTTTAGTGATTTTTTGGTTTTGGTTTTTTATTTGTTTGATATTAATATTAATAGGCCTTTTTCCTTCTTGTCTTTGCCTGGCATATTTCATTTCTTATTTGCAAAAGTTATTTCTTTTTAGTTTGAGGATATTCTACTAAATACAAATTAGTTGAAATTTGTGGTTTTTTTTTACTCACTGTGATAATGTCTGTCTTTTAGTTGAAAAAGTTAACTCATCCACATTTTTGGTGTGAATTGATTTTAATTATATTTTTGTCTTTATATTTTGATTTGTGTGTGTGTTCTGATAAATCTGCTCTTATGTCTTTTGTTTTCTTTGTATTTTTCTTTACCACATTAAAAATTTTTTTCTTTACCACATTGTTAGTTCCTTTTTTTTGCTAATATTTTAGAATTTATTCATACTATTTTGAGTCTACTATATTTTTTAAAAATTATGCCTTTATTTTGATGTCAACTTCAATAGTGAAATGAAATCTATTGAATCTTCCTATTTCTGAATGAGATCAAGACAATTATGTAAACGCCCCTTATTTTTCATATTTTGTGCAAACAATTTGTAATGTTGGTTCTGGGTGTGGTGGCTTACACTTGTAATTCCAGCACTTGGAGAGTCCGAGGTGAGAGGACTGCCTGAGTCCAGGAGTTCGAGACCAGTCTGGGCAACATGGTGAGACCTTGTCTTTCCAATAAATCAAAGACAATTAGCCTGGCATTGTGGCACTGGGCATATAGTCCCAACTACTTGAGAGGCTGAAGTGAAAGGAGCACCTGAGTCGAACAGTTTGAAGCTGCGGTGGTTGTGCCACTGCACTCCAGCCTGGGTGACAGAGTGAGACTTCGACTCAAAAAAATAATAATAATGTTGGTTATAGATATTCTAATTTTTCCTTTTTAAATACTCTCATAAGAATTTATTTTTGATATTTACATTAAACTTTACAGACATATTAATGATTAATAACAATTATTTAGAATGAGCAGTTTTACAGGATTCATTTCTCACTTTTTTTCCTTGACCACTCTTCTGGATGTGTTTCAATTAGTTTAGTTTAGTTTTGTTTTTGAAACATAAGATTAGCATAATTTTCTATATGCCCTGGGAATGCAGACTTGTATCTGATACATCTCTAAAGTGTGAGTGCTTTTAGCTCTACCATGCTTCCTGGCTCACCACAATCTCTGTTTCTCCCTCCTGCCTGCTTATCTGCCTGTCTGCATAACACCTTGTGTTGATAAATTCTCTTCTAGACCACATACAATTTCAAATATCTGGTGTTTAAAATAGGATCCTGTGTTCTGACATTGAATTCCACTCTGCCTTATGCCTGTTTTTTTCCCTGGACTTAGGCTTTGGAAGATCGGGTATGGGAACTCTTGCGGGAAGCAGACAAGACAGCTGAAGAGAACAAGGATCAGAGTCAGGTCTATGACGCCATGGCGAAGACGTTGGGTGAAGCGTGGGCAGCCCTGGTCTCCATGCTTGAAAGAAGAAGGGAACTCCTCAAGTTGACCTCTGAATTTTTTGAAAATGCCTTAGAGGTGTGTGTTTTAAAAAACTTCCCCTTTCTCCAGATCAGAACATACATGAATAACAATCCTGAAAGTGTTTTATTTCCACAAATAGACATTGCAATGAGTTAAAAAATGACAGAATAACCAATACATACATAATACATTTAATTTTTGATGATCAAAAAGTAAAATTGCTAATATTTTGTGTAGGTCTTTAAATGAAAACAAAGTGCAGTTAGCTAAAATTAAATAAAATATTTAGTAAAAATGGGGATGCTAACTCATAAGTTGTTATGATTTATTTTCCTGTTTAGCATATAGTGATACAGTTACTAAATCAAACAATTGTCCTAATTATAGGATTACTAAAAAATGATGATCTGGGGTTTTCTCATTGGTTAAAAGCCAGAGAGTAAACTTTCTTCTGCTACTTATTTTTTTTAAAGCAGTTACAGAATATTCCATAGGATGTTTGACTTGTAAATATAGCATTTTATAGAGTACTTTCCTAAGGTATATAATTGATTTTCCATAGTTTGAACTCACTAAAATACAAGAGAAAGAATAATCTTGGACTTAAGAAGGTCATTTCTCCCTGTAACTTTTCTTTAACTCTGCAAATTTTTTGAAGTTCCCAGTTTCAGAATATGAGATTCAAAGAACATCATCAAAAGAGGTGTTATATTTGGTGTAAGACTCTTATTGGAAATTTCACTTTTAACTTCTCTGTCAAGTGGCAGCCCATTCATTCTGATGTAAGAGCACTGCTTCATTATGATAAAGCACCAACATTGAAAAATGTGACATTTTTTAGTTAAAAATTCAGGACTTAAATCCAAAATAATGAAGGAAAGAAGATTAGTAGTAGAACATAAAAATTGACATAGACAATCTCATGCATAATGAACTCATTTAAAAACAAAAGAGAGGAACAAAAACCTTATTGTAACTTTCAAGATTTGTTTTCCACAATTTGAACTCTTAAGTTCGACTCATGGTTCATTTTAGAGACCATCCTGGGAAAAGGTTCCAAACACAATATTTTTTCCTGAAAAGAAATATAGCATCTGAAATACACCTACAAAGGCCAAATTATAAACACATCTGATTCATTCCATCTTAGTAAGAGGGTTATAGGTGTCAACCTCTCTTGAAACTCAGATCTTTTGAGTGCAGGAAATTTCCCTTTTTCTAACATTAGATCCGATATTTGTTTCTCACTGTGCTTTAGTGTTAATGCTAGCTTATTCTCTCTCTGATGGGTAAATTACTTTCGTATATTGTGTGAAGTAAAAGGAAATGAGAGGTCAAACCATTATTCAACCCTGCACTCTTATTCTTGCACTTGACTGAACTTTCATTGGCTCTAATGAAAAGACTAATTGTTTGTGTATTATTCTACATCCAATTTTGTGGATCATTTCCTACTAAGCTGAAGACAAAGTCCTATATATTCTTCGTGCTCCTTTTGTATGCTAAAGCAATTTCCATTACTGATATAAAAAAGAAGAGGGTGAAATTAACTCTAGGGTCTTGAAAAGTGTTCCCTGTTGCCACTTCTACCCTGTACAAGCTACAAAAAGAAGAAAGGTGTAACTTTTAGGTGGGGAAAAGAGAACATCAATAAGATAAACGTCAACATGATTTTAGGGAAGATTTTTCTGAGTAAAGAATTATTTGCTTATTGATTAATTCATTTTTAAAATTTTGAATAAGCCGAAATATAGATGTAAGTTGTACAATGACTCCAAAACATTTAAAAATAATCTACAGGGAGGAAACAAATCACCTACTAGGAGTGATTTTTTTTTTCTTTGAAAGTTCTCCTTAAAGAATATCTTTAAAATTAGTTATTAGAAATTTAGTGAATTAGAGATGTAAATGACGTGTGATATGACTCCCTTATTGAACTATGTGCATGAGGGAATTCTTTAGAAATGTAAAATGACTGATTATTGCATGGCTATTGTTATCACAGGATGGTTTCAGACTCAGACTTATCCGTCAGGTAGGTTATTCTCTTGTCAAGCACTGGGCTGCCATTCAGGAACATTGCCTCTCATCGGCAATGGCAGATGTCCATCAGGCTATTCCAACTAGATGGCGGAGGCCTCCTATGCGTTTCCTTGCCTGTGCTCCTGTCAGCAGTCTCTCACCATTCCACTCCATTTACAATTGGATTTTTTATGACTGTTGTAATAACCAAAATACAGTAGATCGTGTTAATCAAATAGTTACATTAAAGTACTGAATATCACCATATTCAAAGATGATAGTTTGAAAAAGACTTTAAAAAGAAGGCAAGCACTGTGGTAGGCTTCTGTGTCTTCCACACTGATACTTTTCTTTAATTAGTTTATTCTAAACTGAATTCAAAGGTGAACATATCACTTAAAATTATCTTAGAAACTGTAATAATTACCACTGAATCTTAGTGCTAAAACAAATCAACTTTTTTGTCTGCCACTATAGACATACTGTGATAGCATAACTAAATATATTTTGCCTTCTTCTAAAATTTGTTTCAAAGATTTTTCCCTGAGAATTTTAACATCTCTTTTAGCATCTCTCTCCCCTTCCTACTTGCTCCATGGAGAAAAAGAAGATCAGTCATAGTCATCACCATTTAGGGATCAAATTACTATGCAGTTTCCTTGAACAGAGGAGAAATTTTCCACAAGTCGTTCTTGCTTTATCTAATCTCATTTAAGTTACATAATGCATACAAATTATTGTCTTAAAATGCAAACAAAATTGCAAATTATAGATTCAAAAGCTAACAATTTCCTCCCCCCTTCAGCCATCTCTAATCCCAATTCTTCTCATTAAGGTCACCGTTTGATATGTATCTTTTGAGACCACTTTCTGTACAAATATATATTTTCTTGCATTGTATAAAAATGGGATTAGACTATGTATTGTTCTGCAACGTGCATATTTCACTTCTAAATTCAGTCATAGAGGAAAACAATAACTTCAATCTTCCCTCAAAGTTTGTGAGTTAAATTTACTTGTAATTATGTGGGTTACCTGTTAGCTAAGCTAACTTTTTTTTTTGGTTTCCTTTGCAAACTTTCTGCTTATTCTTAATTGTTTTAGAATGTTGAAAGTGACTGTATTCATTACACAGAACACCGTAATTTTGATTGAAAAAATTTAATAGACATTTGAACAGTAAACAAGTTGATTTAATTTTAGAATACATAACATAATTCCAAGAATGAAAGGAATCCAAAAGAAGAAAGCATTTTGTAAATTGACTATATGCAAACAGCCTCCTCAAACACCCTACACCAATACACACTCATGCATACAAACATACACACTTGCACAAACACACCACATAGTCAGGCTATTAGTTTGTGAAAAACATCTACAAATAACTTAATTTTTATTCAAATGTCTTTCCCCTGTATTTTTCTTGTAGTTTGCTATTAAAATTGACCAAGCTGAAGATTTTCTCCAGAATACTCATGAGTTTGAGAGTGCCGAGTCTTTAAAATCACTTCTTCAGCTTCATGAACATCATACTAAAGGCAAGAAATGTTTCTTTCTCACAGAAACTTTTAAAGATTTTAAAAGATGTTAATACGATAATATTTATGCATGACAGTGTATTTTTAATTTATCTACTTATGTTTACCTCCACTTGTTTCAAGAAAGGTTAAATAAAGCTTTATTTTTGGTTATCTTTTGGAAGAAAGAGCTAGTTATAAATTATTCTAAGGGGATGGTAGAGAAAGGGCCTCAGGAGATTCAGTTATTTAGTCTGCTAGACTTGGGCTCCCGAGGATGTATGCTATTTCCACCTTGTTCATTCTTTCATCCTCAGCATCTAGCAAGGTGCCTGGCACACAGTAGATCGTCAAGAAATAGGCCAAGTAGCGTGGTTCATGCCTATAATCCCAGCACTTTAGGAGGCAGAGGCAGGAGAATCCCTTGAGCACAGGAGTTCAAGACCAGCCTGTGCAACATAGTGAGACCTCCTCTCTACAAAATAAATTTAAAAATTAGCCAGTCATGGTGGTGCACACCTGGAGTCCCAGCTGCTCAGGTGACGGAGGTAGAAAGATCGCCTGAGCCCAGCATTTTGAGCTGTGATTGTGCCACTGCACTCCAGCCTGGGTGACAGAATGAGACTCCGAATCAACCATTTAAAAAAAGAAGGAAGGAAGGAAGGAAGGAAGGAAGGAAGGAAGGAAGGAAGGAAGGAAGGAAGGAAGGAAGAAAGAAATAAGTATTTATTTTTTTATTATAAAGATGTGGGGTACAATTCAGGGTTAGATATACAAACGTTGATTATACAGGTACCCTTGTTGATGAGGTGTGCCCCTCCCTCCCCTGGCAGTTTCCTTCAACTGCCAATCCCACCCCACCTCCTCTGGCAGTTTCCCACTACTGCCAATTCCTTTCTTATAGTATAATGGCAATTGTTCACTTATGAGTGAGAACATATGGTACTCTGCTTCTGTGATAGATCACTGAGTATGATCGACTTTAAATCCATCCAAGTGGCTGCGAAGTCTGTATGTTTGTCCTTCTTTATGTCTGCATAGTATTCAATTGTGTATATGTACTACATTTTTTTTTGAGTTGGAGTCTCACTCTGTCACCCAGACTAGAGTGCAGTGGCCACTCCCGGCCACCACCGCAGCCTTGACCTGCTGGGCTCCGGCGATCCTTCCGCCTCAGCCTTCCAAGTAGCCGGAATTACAGACGTGCGCTACCACGCCCGGCTGATTTTTTGATTTATTGTAGAGGTGAGGTCTCGCTGCCCAGGCGGGTCTCGAACCCGCAGGCTCAGGCAATCCACTCACTTCAGCCTCCCAAAGGCGCGGGATTACAGGCTGAGCCACCGAGCCCGGCTGTACTACCTGTTTTTTATCCAGTCCAGCTTCGATGGGCAGCATGGTTAGTTTCATGTTTTTGATATTGTGAATAGAGCTGCAACAAACATAAGTGTGTCTTTTTGTATCTTTTTTGTGAGTATCTTTGATTTTGCAGGTATCTTTTTTGTAGAATGACTTGAGTTACTCCAGGTATATTCCCAGTAGGGGAATTGCAGTGTTGTATGGAAGGTCAATTTCTAGTTCTTTCAGAAATTGTCACACTGTCTTCCAAAAAGATTGCATTAGTTTGCATTCCCACCAGCAGTGTAGAAGCATACCTTTTTCTTTCCATCCTCGCCAGAGTCTGTTGTTGTTTGTTTTATTAATGATGGCCATTATTACTGGGGTTAGGTGGTATCTCAGTGTTTTGTTTGTTTGTTTGTTTTGTTTTTTGAGTTGGAGTCTTACTCTGTCGCCCAGACTGGAGTGCAGTGGCCGCTCCCGGCCACCGCAGCCTCGACCTGCTGGGCTCCGGCGATCATTCCGCCTCAGCCTTCCGAGTAGCCGGAATTACAGGCATGCGCTACCACGCCCGGCTGATTTTTTGATTTATTGTAGAGATGAGGTCTCGCTGCCCAGGTGGGTCTCGAACCCGTCAGGCAATCCACTCACCTCAGCCTCCCAAAGGCGCCGGATTACGGGCTGAGTCACCGAGCCCGGCTTCAGTGTGTTTTTGATTTGCATTTCTGTGATGATGAGTGAGGCTGAGCACTTTTTCATGTGTCTGCTGGCTGCCCATATATCTTCTTTTGAGAAGTGTCTATTTATGCCTTTTGCCCACTTTTTAATGGGGCTGTTTGTTTTTTTACTTTCGGTGTGTTTGAGTTCCTTGTAGATCCTATATGTTAGGCCTTAGTCAGATATACGGTTGACAAATATTTTTTCCCATTCTGTGGACTGTCTCCTTGTTCTCTTGATGGTTTCTTTTGCTTTGCAGAATCTCTACAGTTTGATGCAGTCCCTCTTGTCTATCTTATTTCTTAAGGTATGGGCACTTGGTTACCAGTTCCAATTTCCATAAGGGTGTCTCCTACGTTTTCTAAGATTCTTATAGTTTGAGGTTTTACGTTTAGGTCTTTGATCCATTTGGAGTTAATTTTTGTGTATGGGGTTAAGTAGGGGACCTGTTTGAATCTTCTGCATGTGATCAGCCAGTTTTCCCAGCACCATTTACTGTATAGGTTCTCCTTTCCCCAGTGGTTGTTGTTGGAGGCTTTGACAAAGATGAGTTGGTTGAGAAATTGAGGCTTTGCTTCTAGAGTCTCTATCCTGTTCCATTGGTCTATATGCCTGTTCTTGTACCAATACTAGGCTGTTTTGATTACTGTAGCCTTATAGTAGAGTTTGAAGTCTGGAAGTGTGATACCTC